ATACGTATAGTCGATATCTAAGTTTGAGTTACACCACTCGTTTATATACTCTTATGCGCGTTCCTTCTTCGAACCTTTTGGTATGTATTGCCCCCTATCAGATCTACCAACCCGGATTGGTTGGCAAATGTAGTACTGGCGCCTAAGCCCCCTTCGTGGAGGATGTGCGTCGACTACACAGATTTGAACAAGGCATGTCCCATGGATCCGTTTCCTCTCCCCAACATTGATCAGATGGTGGATGAGACTGCCAGGTCAGAGTTAATGAGCTTCATGGATGCTTTCAGTGGCTACCATCAGATTCGGATGCATCCGGCCGATGCTGAAAAGACAAGTTTTATGACCCCAGAAGGGCTGTACTGTTACTTGGTGATGGCCTTTGGGCTGAGAAATTCCGGGGCGACATATACCTGGATGGTTTCTCAGGTGTTCAAGGCTGTCTTAGGGCGGACCTTGGAAGCATATGTTGATGATATGATTGTCAAGTCCAAAGAGGCCCGAGACCATTCGAAGCTGGCAGAGAAGGCGCACCCATTCTTTGCGGTGATCAAGAAGAGAGCGGCCTTCGAATGGACACAAGAATGCCAAGAAGCATTCGAAGAACTAAAGAGATATCTCTCAAGCCCACCGGTTTTGTCTAAGCCGAAACCTGGAGATGTTTTGACTCTATACTTGGCAATAGCAGACTGTGCTATAAGTACTGTGATCGTAAGGGAAGAGCATGGGGCCCAACATCCGGTCTACTACATCAGCAAGACCCTGAGAGATGCGGAGTTAAGGTATTCCCGTCCGGAAAAAGCCATGTTGGCGGTCTTCTGGACAGCGAAGAGATTAACTCCGTACTTTCAGGCTCACCGGATTGTTGTGCTCACGGATGAGCCTTTGGCGTCACTTACCCGAAGCCCCGCGGCATTTGCCCGGATGACCAAGTGGGCAGTCTTCATCAGTCAGTATAACATGGAGTTCAAGCCGCGCCCATCCCAAGGGGCAAGCACTCGCCGACTTTCAAGTTGAGTGCACCGCCAGAGAAATGACAAGAGCCCAGGTTGAAACCCGGGTGGAAAAGGACTGGTGGGTAATGAGTATTGATGGATCTTCTGGGTCTCGATCTTGCGGAGCAGGGATCGTCTTGATCACCCCAGAAAAATTCTGGATTTATTACGCTATCAGATTTCAGTTCCGCGTATCCAACAATGAAGCTGAATATGAGGCCCTGATCAACGGATTGAAGATTCTTAGTAAGATGGGAGTGTCTAGGGTTCAGGTTTACAGCGACTCCCGATTAGTGGTGGGACAAATCACAGGGGAGTTTGAAGCAAAGGAAGAAAGGATGAAGAGGTATCGGGATTTGTCTTTAGAGATGTTGGGGAGGTTTGAGTTTAAGCTTGAACATATACCCCGAGCCCAGAACGCAGAGGCCGATGTTCTATCCAAGCTCAGCGCAGAGTCACCGGAACACATAAGCAAATTAGCAACCGTCGAGGAGCTGGTAACCCCGAGTCTTAACAGCAATGAGGAGATCTGGGTATCAGCTGATCCCCCGGAATGGCTGGACCGGTTGGCCAAATACATTGAGGACGGTGAAGCCCCGGAAAATCCCGAAGAAGCACGTATGTTGCGAATGAGGGCACCTACCTACAAGGTACAGGATGGAGTCCTCTATAAGCGATCTTACAACGGTGTTTTACTCCGTTGCCTCAGGGCAGCATAGGCAAAGGCACTAATGGAAGAAATACATGAAGGAGTATGTGCTGCACATCAGGGTCCTTACTCCATTTCCAGAAGGGCTATTATCCAGGGATACTTCTGGCCAACGATGAGGAAGGATTGCGAAGAGTATGTACGCAAGTGCCCGACCTGCCAACAATTCCAGAATATACCCGGGAGGCCAGCCACGAATTACACGCCCATCAGCTCTGTGATTCCCTTCTCAAGATGGGGGATTGATATTGTGGGAGCCCTGCTGAAAGGAGCTGGGCAGGCAAGGTGGATTGTGGTGGCGATAGACTATTTCACAAAGTGGGTGGAAGCTGAGCCACTTGCCGGGATTACCGGAAGGCAGATGATCGACTTCGTCGGAACGAATATATTCTGCAGGTTTGGGGTCCCGAGACAGATCATATCTGACAATGGAACCCAGTTTGAGGAAGCAGAGTTTCAAGACTTCCTCAAAACTTGGGGAATTCAGCACACGAAGGTGTCTGTTGCGTACCCTCAGGCTAATGGACAAGTGGAGAATGTCAACAGAACAATCATAGACGGAATAAAGAAGAAGCTACTTTCAGAAGGAAGCAAATGGGTAGATGAACTACCCAGAATCCTGTGGACATACAGGACGACTCCAAGGAGAGCCACGGGTGACACTCCTTTCGGCTTAGCTTATGGTTTTTAAGCCCAGGCTCCCGCTGAGGTAGTAATCCCCACCAGGAGAGAAATGGAATATAACCCGGAGGTGAACGAACAGAATCAGGCCGTAGAGCTGAATTTTGTAGAGGAACAAAGGGATGAAGCACGGATCCGGGCAGAGAATTATCGTCGCAAGGTGAAATCTTACTTTGATAGCAAGGTGAAACCAAGGGCGTTCCAAGTGGGGGATTACGTTATGAGGAAACGAGAGACAAGTCAACCAACTAAGGGTGGAAAGCTGGCTAAGAAGTATGAAGGACCTTATATCATCAAGGCCGTTGTTCGCCCAGGTACCTACAAGTTGGTGACTCCCAAGGGGAAATAAATTGATAGGACATGGAATGTAGAGCACTTGGTCAAATTTTATCAGTGAAATCATTTCGTAAAAACGCTCTATTTTTAATTTAAGATGTTTGTTTCAGTAAAAATTTTCTTTTCTTTTAAAGCCAAGTGCCTTTGCAATTTCATTGTTCTATAGATTTCTTTAAAAAAAAAAGGGGGAGGGGGGAAGCACCCCCAGGCGATATAGACCCGCATTACAGGGAGGTAGAAAAGTTTATGCCACCTGCTAAAAATAGGGGAGGTAGATAAGTTTATGCCCCCCCGGAGGTAGATAAGTCTATGCCTCCGTCGAAAATGAAGGAAGGGTTGGGATTGGACTTTGAGGGCCATTACAACCTGGAATTCAGGAAGAATAGCAAGCAGACTTCGAGGGCTGAAGCTTAGTATTCCACTAGCATAGATCAACCGAGCAAACAAACTTCGAGGGTTGGAGCTCAACTGATCCAAGGTAGATAAGATTATGCCTTAACCCGGAGGAAGGGGAGGCCAGGGGCAGATGAGATAAGTGCCCCTGGCATGCCCAAACCCCGGGAGATGAGATTTTATATAGAAAATGAATTATGTACTTGCATTCGAAGAGGTGCAAAGAAATGACTATTAAGGACCATATTAATGGGCCAAAGTTTACATTTTTTGGTTCACAATAAAGGTTCCTAGTAAAATAAACAAGAAAAGAAATTAAGGGAGTTCATCGATTGCTAATCCGGAGGTTATATCTTTGAATTACAGCGATGATTCCTACTTTGAAATTAAGGAACATTCCTTAGTTTGGATGCAGGGAAGATCCCTGGACCAAACAAGTGAATGCCTCTTGATACAAAACAAAGAAAAGAAATTTGATTTGCAGGAGGCTAGGAACTGAAGGAGGGCCTATTGCATCCATGCAGTCAACAAGAAGGAGGTGGAGGACCCTTCCACGGGCTCCTTCTCTTTGACGAGGGACACGTTGATGAATCAGCGGTTTCCCATATGTCATAGTCTTCCCATGTCCCAGGACGGGGAGCTACTCCCTTCAATGAAGAACCATTGTTGGAAGACTTCAGCAGGTGTGGGGAAGCAGTTCGGCTTTCACATGAAGGTTCCGCCTCGACAATTGGCAAAGAGCGTCCGAGTTTAGCCCTGCACATCCTCTGGTACAAGGCAAAGTCTTGGAGGGTCATAGAGTCCCAGTCTATCCTCCCGGATGGGAGCCTGGGTGGACTAGGAGGGGATGGTGCAGGAAGGCGAGGCGCCGGGTAGAGTCTTGAGAACTCGCCAGGACTCAACCCAGCCATGTCGTTGGATTGGGCTGGAGAGACGGAGAAATCATCATCCGAAGAAGAAGATGCCCCAGAGAGGGTTAAGTCGATGACGACTTTACTCTCAGACTTACTTGCCATGGCGGAGAAGTCAGAAAGGGATGGACTGGCAGCTAATTATCCTTTCCCATTTATAGTCAAAGGGGAAGGGATAGTTGAGAAGTGATGAATGCGGTTGGAAGACGTGAAAGACTAAGCGATTGGCGAAGGAAGCGGTCGAAGATTTCCCATGTTTGACTAGGGGTTTCTCGCCACTTAAGTGCATGGGCTAGTTAATTGGGCCCATCTGCGCTTGGGAAAAGACGTCATCCTTGGAAGGTAAGGAGTTAAATAAACTTAGACTTCTACTCCATGCAGATGACGCCACGTGCAATAAAATTATATTAAATGACAGGAGATAAAGGTTTTTCCATTAAATAGCTCAAACAGAAGATTACATTCTTTTGGGTTACAGTAATGGGCCTTATCCCTGATCAAACAACAAAACAAAAAAGAGACGGGAGATAAAGACTTTCATTAAATAACTCAAATGGAAGTTTACATTCTTTTGGGTTACAGTAATGAACTTTGTCCCTGATCTACTTCTATCCTACCACTAGAAAAAGTTGAAGGCAAGGCGGATTGGCACTTCCGAAATCTGGAGGAGTGCGTTTGCTGACCACTGTTCCTCTGCCTGAACCAGAAAAGAACCCCAGAGCAGGGAGGTCTGGAGAGTGTCCGCCGAAGACACTTCATGACATTCACAAGAAGTAGAATGGTACCAACGGGTTGGGGATTAAAAGCCATCCCTGTGGATACCATCCCGTCATTCCCATGGAGGCGGACGGAGAGGGTGGTGGGCATGAGTGAAGGGCTCAAGGCCTGGGGTGAATTGGGCCCGGCGTGATTAAGGTGGGCCAGTCACTTAGCGCATTAATGAACAAGGAAAACACAAGAGTATTTTGTAAACGCGGTCAAGCCCAAAGCCTAGGCGGACAAAGAATTTTCGCTAAGTCCTAAAGAGGAATAAGAGTTCCAAAAGGAGAATAGTTAGACTAGCGAAAGGAGTATACAAGAACAGAAATACATTAAGCATTGCCAAATTGTTATAAGGTTAAATGTTACAGAATAGAAGTTACAACAACTGATTGAGAAATCAAGGTCCCGGATTGGCACGAGAGTCTGGGGGAGGAAGAGGAAGAGGTAACCCATAGTAAGAGATGAAGTCATCCAAGGATCGGTTTTCCGGGAGACCACTCCGGACTGCCCCGTAAATGCATTGCTGCATGTCAAATTTCCCCTCTTCATAGAGGGCTTCAGCACGGGCAACCAGGGTGGCCACCTCCTCTTGGTGAGCAGCGATTGCCTTCTCCAGTTCACCTATCTTTGACCGGAGCTCGCTTGCAATCTGTCTCTCTTCCTTCAACTTCTCGAGGATAAGCCGTCTTGCTTCCATCTGTTTCAGGGTGAATTCGTTAGAGCGGGAACCCTTGTGCTTGGCCTCCTGGAGGGAATTCTCCAGCTCAGAGATCCGGGATTCCTTTTCAACCAATCCAGCTCCCAGATTTCCCACTTTGTCTTCTGAAGCTGAGGCCCTTGATTCCAGGATGGAGATTTGTGCCTAGAGCCTGTGAAACTGCGCTTCTAGGTCCCGGGTTCCTTTTTGGTAGATAGCGATCTGCTCTTGTAGGGACTCGACCTTGGATTTCTCAGCGGCTAGCTCCATTGAGCTATCTGCCTTGAGCCGGGCATTCTCTTCCTGTAGGACCCGGACCTGTTGTTCCAGGGAGTCAACCTTCTGTTGTAGAGTCCTGGCAGCCAACTCCTTCTCCTTCAGGAGCACTACAGCCCGATAGTTCCCTAATGCTCCACCCAGGTACTCCTCAGTCAAAGTGAGGAGTGATTGCTGGGCTTGAAAGAAGGAAAGGGAAGTCAAGGAGAAGAACTAACCTAAAAGGAAATAAAGAAATTTTTGAAAAAGAAAGAGTACATGCTCCATGAAGTGCAGAGCATTGAGGGCGCAAGTCGGGGAGTGCCTGGGGAATTGTAGGCTCCTGCACTGTTTCCCTCATCCTCTCTAGGTTTGCCTGGATAGTACAATGGGAAGCCTGTAAGGATCTCAAGCCACGGGAGAAGCCTGCCCAACCCTCTGTAAAAACAGGATAAGTTTGCGGCGTAAACTTGCGCCGGATGGGGAGACTAACGGCCGAAGGTGCAATGGCGGGATGTCGTTCCTCCGGTTCCCGCTGCTCCTCCGGTTTCTGCTGCGTCTCAGTCTCTCTTCCCGTCTCTGGAGGAACCTCAGTATCTTCTTGCCCTTCAGCTTCTTTCTCCACCGTGGAGGGGGCGTCCGGCTCTGTATGTAGTTCGATCTCCACCTCTACTGCAGAAGAAGACTCTGGTTCTTCCTGCTCCTCAACTTCTACCTCCAGCTCTTGGGGAGCAGATGCAGTTTGAGGGAGGGAATTGTTTGCATCAGGCTGAGGTTGCACCGCTGGTTTTTTGAGTGGTGCTTGGTCTGGAAGTTCATCTGCCTCATGATCCAGGCTCTCCGGATTGGGTAGCTCTAAACCTCCGGGTGCAGCAGCAGAGGTGGTATTCTGAGTACCAGAAGAAGTTGACAGGGGGCTGGGTGAAACAGAAGTACCATCACCCCTATTCTTCTTGGGAAGGAAATCATCGTTAGTAACTCCTTCCCGAGGTCGTTTCTGGGATGGGATGGGCCTCCTGAGCCCAGGAATGGCAGAGATAGGAACGGCCTCCAGTGCTGCAGGCGGCTTGCGAATAGCTAGAGCAGTGGAGTTGCCTTGGAATTGGTCCCCAGAGGAGCTCATAGCCGGGTTGGACTCTGCAGCAGAAGGAGCCTTTGATCTCTCAGGAGAAGGCATGCCTTCAAATGGAAACGGGTCAGGACCTAGGGGGTAGTAAAAACCTGCCTTCTTGTACAGTTGGGCGTCCTGAAGGGAGTGGTGTGAAATTAGACCTTCTTTTTCTCTCAAGGCGTTGAACACTCCCTCCGCTAATTCTGCTGCAGCAAATTTCGTCCGGGAAATGGAACAGCGGAGGACAACACCCGGTAGATCAAGGGGGCTGTGAGCCGGGAACTCAATAACGAAGTATCTCAGTGACCATTTTTCATGCTTGAACTCAACCTTCTCAAAAATTGGGAAATGGTTGTGGGGATATAGGCTGTAGAAGGGGAAACCACCGATACTGAAGAGGAGAAGGAATTCATCCAATTTTGGGGATCTGTCCAGGGCACAGCACCGCAGGATGTAGGACGCGACATACTTGTGCGCGTTGGCAGTCAATTGACCCGGAGCGAATCCGAAATGGAGGCAGAGGTCGCGAAGCAGACTGTGGAGGGGCAACCTAAACCCATTTTCCACGGAGTGGTACTGCATGACCATATATTTTTTGGGGTTTGGATTGTAGGATAAACTGATCCCCCCAACGCCAAAAATTACACACTTAAAACTAATAGATCAGATGATCATCATCTTCATGTGTGCTAACATATAATTACAAGCCACACATTTGCCACAATTTCTAAAAGATAACGAATCAAATACAACTTCAATGCAGACAATTAAACGAACAAGAAACATTGGAATCTTACCTCCACGATACACCAGAACAAAGACAGGCATGCTACCAGGCTTGGATTTAAAGGAAACATCCACATCATCGAAGCTTTTACATGCTTTCTGGTTAGCCTTTGGGTGCATCACCACGCCCGTCATGGTTCCTCCGTACTGAGGAACCCCGAAATTCCCAATTGCACACTGATACACATCTTTGATGGAGGTTGGGGAAGTCACCCTCAAACTATTCTTCTCCACTACAGAGATAAAGTGTATATTCTGTTTCAAAATCGATGCTTTTGTTTTGTCCCAAAATCTAGACATAATGTTTATTACTAATGGACATCAGCTAAGATTATTCTCCCGTCCCAAGAAGTAGGAAACATTTGGCTTGGAGACAATCTTTATTAGAATAAAGGTCATCGCTTAAATTCTAAATCTTTTAAACAAGAAAAAGAAATACGGCTCCCACAAAAAGTAAAAAAAAGGTGAGAGGATAGATAAAATGGAAAAGTAAAAAGTAACTGGAGTAAAAATTAGATATAGTTGTATCTAACAAAGTTTGCTTTGAAGTAGATAGTCTAGATACAGTAGTTACATCACCATGGATTGAAAAAAAAGGGGTCAGGAACACTGAACTTCTGATAAGCAAATAAAGGTCATGTAAGCAAATTGTGGGCTCTGTTATCTCACAACAGCTTTTTTCCGCTTCATCGATGCCAGTCTGCAAAAATTTAAAGGTTATGTAATACTACCTCCGTCCCAGAGTATTTGTCCACTTTCATTTTTACATACCATACAATACACTTCTTTAATCCTTTTTATCTTGTAATTTGTATATTACAAAATTATAGAAATTATATATTAATAATCTACTCCGTATATGTTAAGACAAATCAAACAAGATCACACATGACTATATTTAGGCTTACACATTGAGAGAATTTGATGAGTCAAAGTGCTTAGATGAACAGTTCCAAAAGTCAAAACTGGACGAATACTCCGGGACGGAGGGAGTAAGTGCTATTCATAATAACAATAATAACATTTATAATAACATCATTGTACAGTGATAACAACGAATAACTTTAACATACCCTCAGAATCACAGTCGCAGAAAACGCGTTTAGTCTCTTTTTCCAATTCAGATAGTCACCGTTCCAATCATAGTGATAATGATGGCCAACATTCGAAATCATGAATCTCGCTAACTAAAGTGAAATATTTTTTTAAGAGTTAGTTCATTTCTTTAAAGAAAACAAGTAAAAAGAGACACAAGGATCAGAACAAAGAGCGTATAATACAACAAATTCTAACATCCATTAATGAACTTCTAAATGATGCCAATGAAGACGGTCATGTGTTTTTAATTACAGAGGTGTAAACAGATGTAAATCGGATGGGATATGCCATTACCAAATCCATATCCCTTTATTTTTATCGGATATCAAATTCAGATATGAATCTTGGCAGATGCTAAAAATAAAAAATGTATCCGCATCCGTCGGTTATCGGATATATTCGTATCCGTTTCCAAATTATCAAAGTCAGATTAAACTGTTTACAGAGTAATATATATATATATATATATATATATATATATATATATATATATATATATATACTTTGAATATATTCATTCAATTAAAATGCATTATGGAGTACTATTTTTCTTACTTTTTGGAATCTATACTATTCTACTTTTTGGAATATATATATATATATATATATATATATATATATATATATATATACACTTTTAATATATTCATTCAATTAAAATGCATTATGGAGTACTATTTTTCTTACTTTTTGGAATCTATACTATTCTACGAAAACCCCATATGGTAAAAAGCATTACATACTACATATACACACGTATTTATGCGTCTTCACATATATTTTAGATATAAAGATGTGTTATACTTTGAGATGTTAATAGAAAAAAAAATATAAAATAAATATTTGTGAAAACTATATATAACAAATCGGATACACGAATAAACAGTTACTCAAACGAATGTATATGCAGGGTGGATTATAAACGAATCGGTATATGATTACCAAATACGTATCTGTATACCACTCGGATGTCCCTAATCATACACGGATAATAACAAATTTAAACGGATGCAAAAATTTATCGTATAAACTGATAAACATGCAAACGGTAATCGACTTTTTGGTTATCCATTTATAGCCTACTTTTAAATAGGACAGAAGGAGCAATGACAATATTAATGATAAACATTGTGATTATCTCAAATTTCAAAATGCATACCTGCGTACTTCCACACTCATTCGTCATAGCATAGAAAAGATTCTCACAACTTTTTATCTTCTTTAGTATTTCAATGTAATCTTGAACCACCTTCATCTAAAAATTATCGATATAATTCTTTAATACATAGGTATTTAAATATATGAGCAAAAATATATTATTTCAAAATAAATAAAAAAAGTCCATGTACCGTGTTCTCATGCATAATGGGCTCCCCTATAACAAGGCCCACTGGTTTAATTCTCTCTGTCTACAAATATAAAAAACGAGAAGATTATAAAAAAGTATTATATACTGAATGTTATACTCTCTAAAAGATTATAAATAAACGAGTTATGTGCATAAATAATTTTTGTGGTCTTTGTTAAGTGCATAAATAGTCCTAAACTATTAGAAGTTGTTGAATAGACCGAGTAGTAAAAACTATGTTGCACAACTGATCTCTACCGTTATCACTTAACGAAAGGTGAATAAGAATCCAACAAAGCTAACAGAATAGGGCCCTGATGTGGATGTGCGCCTCATTCCATGTGCTTCCCCATTGTTTTTTTTTTCCTTTGCTTGAGCTAACAAAAAAATTCTCATCTGATGCCTTTGACCCCCCCCCCCCACCCTTTCTTGAAAATCACATTTGCTGCCTTTCTTCTTGCTTTCTTTGGTCTCCCAATTTTCTTGGGAACAATTGGTGGTTCAATTACAGTCCCAGATCCCTGCAAAAAATCTTGAAGTCTAGGGACAGCATGCACCATGTAACTACACAGCTTCAAATAAACCTCCTTGGAGTAGAAAACATCTATGAAATTTTCAACTTTTCTACCATATTCTTCAACTTCTCTAACTCCATGTGGACACGGGTAGTGATTTTGCTGGAATATCCCACAAGTACAAGTTCTTTCATTTAACTTCGCAATATACATCATACGGCTGTTGTAAAGTTGGTATTTTTCTTCTCCACACCAAGTCAGTGCAAAAGATGCACCGCGCCTATTTTCATGTTTTAATCAATCTTCTTGATTTCAGAGAAAATGCTTCCTTCCTAGCCAAGAGCATCACTTCTTCTTTTCTGACTCCTCTCCATCAGATATGTTCTAATATCCTCTAGCCCACTAATGATAGTCTTATCCCTAGCCTCCAGAATAGAGTTATTGAAACTCTCACAAGCATTGTTGCCAGTTACATCACAAGTTGAGTGCACCACATAGTAAGACTTGGCCCAGCACTTAATAGGTATTGCTCTCAAACACCCAGATCCTTTCATTTGATCTCCTACTTTGGGGCCATTTGCTCTAGTTTGGAATGCAAGACTCGCGCGGTGGGGGTGGGTTTAACGTGAGAGATAAGTATATGCAACATATTTTTCAGATTAAAGACTACTCCCTCCCAAAAAATAACTCATAATTGAGTTTGGTACAAAGTTTTAAAAACAAATTATACTCCTTCCGTCTTAAAAAGATTTACATGTTTCATAAATTTTTTGTCCCATAAAGAACAACACTTTTACCTAAAAAAAAGACATTTCTACCCTTAAACCTAATATCTACCCAACCCTCAAACCCCACCCACTATTTTACTAGTATGTGTACTTCACTTGCTATAATATCTTGCTTTATACTATTCAAGGAGTACTTTTACATTAGATTAAGGGGTAAGCCTAAATATAGTCATGTGTGATCTTGTTTGATTTGTCTTAATATATAGATTATTAATATATAATTTCTATAATTTTTTAATATACAAATTACAAGATAAAATGGATTAAAGAAGTGCATTAGATAGTGTGTAAAAATGAAAGTGGACAAATACTCTGGGACTGAGGTAGTAATTTACAATATACACAATCCGCTGGAATTGCTCTAACACACAAAGTTTGCTAAAAATAAAAAGAACATTTTTTTTTGTTTTTGACATGGCAAAAAGTGAAAAAGCTTTTTTTTAGACAAAAGGGATGAATAATAAATTTAATATTTTAGTAACTATTTATGGACTTAAAAAATACAAAGTAGAGTATATGACATGGACTAATATTTGTACACAAAACTCTAAATTAACGTACCAGTTTATGCACTTGATCCGCGTGATCGTCTCCTCGTTCCAAAGTGCTGTATCAAAAATGAGTATTTATTTAGACTTTTCTATTCGATCCAAAGTATCATCCATCAAAAATACTAAATGATATTCTCTTAGGAGGGTGTATTCAATGTAGATTCTGCAGGAGAGGTATTTAGATTTGAAGAATCAGGATTTTTCCAATGGCTGTCTATTTTCTTCCTCCTTCATCCATTGCAAAGATCTATTGGAGGCCATCTCTTCACAAATCGGCAGAGGCCAATCGAGGTGAAGGCGGCGGAGCAGATAAATGAGATACTTTTGGTGGACTGGGCATCAGACAAGTTGAGACCTGAGGGAGGGGAGGATTTTGGAGGTGGTGGACTGGAGGTTGAAAGGGCGGCTCAAGGAGGAAGTGAAGATGGTGCTCAAATTAGGGATGATTTGCTCCGGAGTAAAATTATATATTCACAAAAAGTCTTTTAAAATCTTTGATGATAAATTATACGGAGTATTAAAATCTATCAAATTCTATGTAGAATTAAAATAATCAATAGATTTTATATAGTCCATGGATTCTAAAAATTCTTTTAAAATCTAAATTCAATACACCCCCTTAATTTAAATTGTTTATTTACTATTTAAATGGTTAAAATTAAATTACTTTTTTTGTTTATTTTTGTTACTCATTTGGTAAATAATACTCCCTACGTTCTCAAAAACACTTCCTCTTTCATTTTTTCCACTTCCAATAAACACTTCCATTTTCTATTAAAAAATCACTTTTACCCTTACTTTTTCATACCCTACCTATCACATCATATTTTTTTTCTAATAATCTATCTATCACATCTTACTTTTACTCATCACATCATGAGCAAAATTAGAAATCAACTATAATTTAACACTTTTTTATTTTTACCCCAAATCAAAATGGGAAGTCTTTTTGCAAACGGAGGGAGTATAATCATGTGACATCTTATTTTGTAGAATATTTGATATTTTTTGAAATGTATAAATTTTATATTTGAATTCTATCTCAACTTTCATATAAATTCATTTAAACGTAATTTTAGTCAATATACAACAAGCAATTAAATTGAGAGGAAGAAGCTCTTTATTAAATAGATACTCCGTATATAAAATTGAATTTAATTAGAACTCTTACGTCAGCGGGTGTGAAAAATGACGGAACGGTTTGGGTGCGTAGGAGAACCCCACGAATTGTGAACCCACGTCCACACCGAGCAGGGATGTTTCTGGCCTTGCTATGGATTGTTCCGATAGCTCCTTCGCTTGCGCTTTTTGTGACGATGTCGCTGCTTGTAGCCTCCCTTTCACAATGAGGTACAGGTCTTTCATACTACACTTCTTCATTATCTACAAGGAGATGTGTATTAAAACTGATTACTAATCCATCCAAAACTGAATTGCTCGATCAAAGAGATTTCACTCAGTTAATTAACAGACTCAATCTCATTTGAAGAAGAAGAAAAGCTTAAAACAAATAAAAATCATATGATGATCGAGCTGAAGGTGATAAAATCATACCTGGCAGGGGCTATTGACCACAGGAAGCAGGCCGGGGACGATGATCGGAAAAGCTACACTGCACGTCTGCACGTCTATAACAGATATACAGGGATAGCAGGGGGCATGGGGAGCATTCTTATGAGAGAGAAATGGAATGAAGCGAGAGAAATTGGCTATGGCATTGTCCTGTAGTGCCACCTCAGCTGAGGGCGGTTATTTCATTCATACTCCATACTCTGTAATACTCGAGGGAATGTTAAGCTGTGGACCCCGCACAAAATAGCAATTCTGTTGCAAATCAATTGGTACCTTTGGTTCGCTGCAAAATATTTCTTTGGGGGGGGGGGGGAATTACCGAATAAAGTTTACATTTTCTATTATTTCATAACACAAATCATTTTTCAAAAAAAAATTCATTTTTAATATTTTAAATTTAATATTTAAAAATACATTTTAAAAAGAACCTCAAAATATTTTAGCATCACGTGACGTAGGGTATGGGTGTTAGCGTGGGGTGGCGAGTCGCGGAGAATGGTGGGATGGGCGTAGGTAAGTGACCCAAGCTCTATAATTCTTTTGAACCTTCTAACAAAAATTTTTATTTTAAAAAAAACTAAATTTAAAGATACACTTAGACCTGGCAAAAACTGACCCGACCTAAAAATACTGGGTTTTGAACAAATGTTTTGATGACCAAACCCAAATTTGACCGAACCTGAAATGACCCGTCAAAAATGGGTCAAACCTGACCAAACCCAAACCCGACCAGACTGACCCGCTAAAGTAAGAGCTTTTCAAAATCACACACTTTACTACTCGTTTTTAGTGTATAGATTTATATTTTCAAACAAAATTTTAATGATATTTCATATAATTATCTTACTTTTTTCTAAAATATATGCATTTTTAATTTTCTTAAATTGATTTATAGATCTAAAAATTACTTCAGAATTTAAAGTAAAATAATCTAATAGATTTAATGCAAATTTTTTTATATTTTAAATTTATTTAATACAAAATGTAAGTGTTAATGTTAATTTAAAAATTTAAAAAACTAAAGTTATAACCCGTTGGGTCAACCAGAACTCGATGACACTGGGTCATGAACATACAATTCTCAACCCGAATCTGAATTGACCCGAACCCGAATTAAGCCAAAGTCAAAGTGATCGAAACCGAACTCGACCAGACCGACCGATTTACCAGCTCTAAATTAAAGATACTCGTCACGGTAGGAATTAAATTTTTCCTTTCATACTAAAATACACAGCACCAAGGAATTTTCCCTTGCCTTATAATGTTCCATTTAATTTTGATTGATCAAATACTCTCTCAAACTTTTTTAATCAATTAAAAGTGGGACGCGACCCACAAAATTACAACTGCATTGTAGTGGTAACAAATGATATGATAACTAGATCTGGCAAAACAGAACCAGAACTGATTACCCGAATTGAAATATCTGAAACCGAAATAGAAATGACGCGAAAAATGAAGATCCGATCTATAACCGAAAACCCGAAATGATCCGAATCGAATCGAAACCGAACTAAATAATTTATATCCGATTTAAATCCGAAACCGGTTAGATCCGAAACTGATAATATCCGAACCGATTAAACCCGAAACCGATTAGATCCGAAACCGATAATACCCGAAACCGATTAGATTCGAAACCGATAATATCCGAATCCGGTTAGAACTAAAATCGATAAATTTGGAACTATGTTTGCCTTTCAATAAGCATATTATATTTTTAAATTTTTAGTTTTATTTTACCATTTGAACTATTTACATTACTTGCTCATTCCCTCATAAAATGGATTGTCTTCTTAGAAAAAAAGTACAAAATTTCATGCCTTAAATTTATTATATGTAGAAATTAAAGATATGTTATACATATAAATGATAACGCACAAACAAACAAAATTTCCATAATTTTTAAATACTGAAGTGTGATGATATTCTTTTTGGGACGAAAAGATTTTATGAAGAATTGTATGGAATAACTAGATTTTATCCTAATTTCATTCCATTACAATAAGTTTTATTGATTTGAGAGTTAATTTGATTAATTTCAAACCAGTTCACTCAATATTGATCAATAAAATTAGATGCTAGTATTAGCATTTTCAAAAGACTCTCTAGCGGCAGCATTTAGTTTTCAAATTTGATCTACACCATTACATTTAGGTGTAAAATTAATTATATTTGAATCTATTAATTTTAGTTTTATCTATTTTCAATCAAATACACTCAATAATTTATAAATTTTGCACTTAACTCGATAAAATTCACTTAATTTCACCCAATTTTACTCAATTTTTACCAAATCATATTCAAATGGAATATAACACTATTTGAATTTATCTTTTATCTATCCATTTATAAACATAAGTATATTAGTAGATGTGAGAAAAATTTGATATTTCAAAACTAAATTTTAAAATCAATTTAATTATATTAAATTTATATCATAATTAAATATATATGTTTTTATAATTTGTAGTCCAAATTTGTAAAATATGACTAAAAAGTCAAAAAGAGAAGATTATTTAGGGTAGAGATAATATAATTAGAAAAAAAATATAAAATAGTATGAGGTATTGAATTGATGATAGATTGAAAAATGTGATAAAACATAAAAAGAAACATGGATAGTTAAATTTTAATTAGAAAATTATATATATCCAAAATATATTTGATCCGAAACCGAAATATATCCGAATCGAACTAGACCCAAAACCGAAATATATCCGACTCAAATTGTATCTGAACCGAAGTCTATCCGAACCTATTTATAACCTAAACATATCTGAACCGACTCGAAACCGAACCGAAGCAAAAAATGTATAAAACCGAATCAAATCCGAACCAAAATTTAACTGATCCGATATGAACCGAACCGATTATAACATATAACCGAAAGATATCCGAATCAAAAAAATCCAACCTGAAACCGATCCGGTTGATCCGATTGCCACCTCTATTGATAACCAAGCAATTACAATCGATAATGAAAACTATAGTACTATATATGACATGCTCTCTCTCTCCCGAAATTAAAATTTCATTTGAGTAGTGCTGGAGACATAAACAAAATGCTCCTAAATGTATAAATTTATCATTTGTATATTTAAACTTTGAAAGAATTATTTAGGAAGAAATTCTCTTGTATATTGAATTGGCTTGTGAAACTAGTTTTGAATACAACGATCTAACTCTCTATATGGGAAGAGGGTAAAGTAAACAAGGAAATTTCTATTCCTACTAAAATAAAAATTAAACAAACTAGGAAAGATAATAAATACTAAACCTAATCCAACTAGGAAAGATACTAAACCAAATCCCAAAGTGATTCGGTTTCCTTTTTCAATCTCGTTTTCTTCTTCTGTCTCTAACACTTTCCTTCTTCATTCCCACTTCCTTCTTCTATCTCTAACACACCCCCTCAAGCTGGAGCATAAGAGTTCAACATGCACAGCTTGGACATAAAAAAACGTTCCCTCGGTTCGTGCATCTGCGCAAGCTTCTCTGGAAGGTCCCACGTGCAATTCCTACACGTACAAATTGGGAACTGCTCCAAATCAGCAAGAAACGTTCCCTCGGTTCGCGCATTTGCGCAAGCTTCTCCGGCAGGTCTCACGTGCAATTTCTACATGTACAAATTGGGAACTGCTCCAAACCACAGAAATTTAGCAATGATCGATGGACGCGATGTATGATTGCCGGGCAATCGTGAACAGTAACCGCGATAAAGAGAAATTGCCATCGGGACGGTCGACCCACTCGACCGTTCTTCAGCAACGGTCGACCGTTCCGGCACTTCGGCAGCAACTACAGGCAACGATTGATGGACGCGATGCCGGTCGATCGTGAATAGTAGACGCGGAAAGAGTTCTTTGTCTCCGTAGAACAATCCTTGTTTGACCACTTCTTCAAGAGACAAGAATGAGGGAGAACAATAAATCACAATATCACGCCGGTAGGCATTGAATTGTGTATGCTCACCGGCAGGGGAAGAAGCGTGTTTGAGGTCTCAAGAATTCAAAACTGGCTCCGATACCATGAAAGAATTATTTGGGAGGAAATTTTCTTATATATTGAATTGACTTGTGAAACTAGTTTTAAATACAAATATATAACCCTCTTTATTTAGGAAGAGGATAAAGTAAACAAAGAAATTTATATTCCTACTAAAATAAGAATTAAACAAACTAGGAAAGATACTAAATACTAAACCTAATCCAACAAAGAAAGATACTTAACCAAATCCCAAAGGGATTCAATTTCCTTCTTCAATCTCGTTTTCTTCTTCTGTCTCTAACACTTTCCTTCTTCATTCCCGCTTCTTTCTTCTATCTCTAACAAACTTTTGTTTATTAATTATTTGAGACCATAGTTTGAAATTATTATTTTACGATTTTGATAAATTTGTAGAATTTGTAGAATTTGTCAATATTTTATTTATGATTCTAGCATTTAAAGTCATGGGTCTTTATCTGGAATAAAGTAAGTTCCTAAAAGTATTGTATTAGCTTAAATTTTATTGCGTTTATTTTTTCTATTTTTCTTATCATTTTTACACAATCCCTCTTAATTCAACCCATTTATTATTATTTTTTTCTTATTTTCCCATCTTTCAGTTACTCCCTCCCTTCTAGAAATGCATTCCCCCTTTTTTTCTTATCCCACAAAGTCATTTCTCTTTTATTTAAAAAACTATTTTTACCCATATTGATTCTTAATCTACCTATTACATCATACATTTTTACTAAGACCTTGTTTCAAACAGAGTTTTTATTAGCGTTAGTGTTTTGGAAAAAAATTTAATGGTATAAATTAATTTTGATGATGCTATGTTAAAAGAGTATCTCACATCGGAACTTGAAGAGAAAATAAATCGGTATATAAGCCTTTGAGTTGAACTAAGTAATCGATTGGATTCAATCTTTTAATGTGGTTCAACCCAAGTGTCTTATTGCCCCAATCTAGTTATCCATACCCAATCCTAAATTCTATCATAGTATCAGAGCAGATTTTGGCCCACCTCATTTGTCAAGGTGTCCGTCTAGACTATGGGTGAGCATGGTACGGTATGATACGGTATTTAGGTCGTACTGATACCGTACCAAATATTTCGGTTCGGTATGGGATTTTACTCCGTACTGATCCCGATCCCGAAATATCGGTTGGGTATGATTTGAGATGGTTCGGTATCGGTTTCGGTACAAATCAGGATAAATATAAATACATACTTTACACGTTAAAATTTAACAATACCCCTTTATTTTTAAAAATTAAAAGTGAATTTAAATAAAAATATATGAAAAATTGAAAAAAATGAATATTTAAATGCAAGAGATGCATATCAAAACTTAGTTTATATTTCACAAACTAAAAAAATAAATGACAACAAAGGAGTATTTCGAATCTTTGTGAATACTTTTATGTTCATACACAAAAATTAAAACTCAAATAAAAGTATTATTTACACAACATAGAACTTGAACCAATTTTTTTTAAAAAATTATTATTTAGTGAAAGAATATAAAAATATTACTGTGGGGTATTATTTTTTATAATATTTTAGTATATATGTTCGATACGAGATTTTTGGTATGGGACGTCACCTCGTACCGTTCCCGAATACCGTACCGACCATTTGGTTCGGTACGGTACGATTCCTTCTTAGTACTTTTTTGGTTTGGTATTTTTCGGTTCGGTATTCTCGGTTTTTTTGGGAAATTTCGGTATCGGTTCGGTACTTGCTCACCCCTAGTCTAGACGTTCATTCATAGCGGCCCGTTAGTCTTTAACTCAGTTGTTCGTATGGAGTATGTACCCAACGGTCTGTCGTCCGTTTAACACGATTGCTCACATCCACCTCTATCTTTTGAGGAATTTTCTCAACTGGGCATAATAATCTCAAACTTTTTCTCGCCTTGTTTAGACTAGATTTTATCCGTGCTATGCACGGTAAGAAATTTTTTTAAATATAAACAAAACTTATATACTCCTTATATTTCTTTCGTTTATTATGACTAAATTTTACTCCCTTCGTCCCTGAGTATTTGTTCACTTTCATTTTTGCACACTATACAATGTATTTCTTTAATCCATTTTATCTTGTAATTTGTATATTAAAAAATTATAAAAATTATATATTAATAGTCTATATGTTAATACGAATCAAACAAAATCACACATGACTATATTTAGGCTTACATATTAAGAGAAGTTAATGAGTCAAAGTGGTTAGATTAACAATTCCAAAAGTTAAAAGTGGACAAAAACTAAGGAACGGAGGGAGTATTCACTTTCTTTAATTATTACTATTTATTTGATAAAATAATATAATCATGTAACTTTCATTTCAATTACTTTTAATATGCAATTTTTATTTTTTTAATTCCATCCAACTTTCAAATAAATTAAATAAAAAATAAATTTAGTCAAACATCATAATCTGAAAGATACAGTATAAATTGGACGAAGAAGAAGAATTAGAATATGTGAGTCGACAGTGAATGAGCAATATTTTGCATCTTATTTCTATTTTCAAAGCAGCTGTGATGTGTCTTGAATTGGATAAGCCCACCGTATTTATAGTGGATGTTTATTGGCACGAAGTTCTCCTTGTACATAAGGATTAATATAGAAGGATTAATAGCGATAACTTAAAAATGCAGCAATTTACAAAAAAGAGTGTACTACCATGGAGTAAGAAAACAACTTGGGCAATAGAGAAATGGTAGCACCAACACCTCAAACAAATAGTCCCATAATTTCTCTTTATTTCTGCTCAATTTTGTCCAACCAATTCACCTTCGAGCAACTGAGCAAGCACGCAAGTTAGCTATATATATCTACATTAAAATAGTACACATGACAAACATCACTTTAAAGGTTATCATTAAAGCAGGAAGAAGATAAGGAATGAATTTAGCTAGAGAAATAAAGAAAATAATCTCAAAACAATAAATGAGTGAATTGCTTGGATTAAAATCTAGAAATCAAAATTTCGATAAATTAGGGACTTCAAGTTTTTACTTTCTTCTTTAGAGTGACACCTGGTTAAAACTCAAACCTTTTAAAAGAATAGTAAAGTATGAGAACAAATACTTAGTAATTATAAGTTCAATTCAAAAATATTAGATTTCATGATGTATGCAGGTATAATCCAATAAATCATTAAGAAGATAGGACTCATAGGAGAATAAAATTTATAGGTTAATCTGTCTTTTCTTTTATGAGTGTGGTTGGTCAAAACATTTTTTTCTTGAAGGGCAAAACATAGAAGGGAAACTCATACGAAATAAATACAAATGCAAAAAACAAAAGTGAAGAATCTAGAAAGGAGCTGAGTCTCAAGGAAAAGTTATGTCCAAATATAGGGGATAAGTGAATCAATAATTGATAAAGCCAACAAATGTATCAGACTTTTCTTTATCTATATTGATTAATGTTAAACAATTCAGATCTCAAACCCCATTAGTTACTTGAATATATGGGCAACTTAAGTCATTTTTTTCCTTTTTACCTTCATAGATTTTAGTTGTTCTCGTTGTGATTTCTCTGTAAAGTCAATGATCCTACTTTATCAATCAACATGAGTTGCTGAAAAAAACACTTTATATGCTAAACCATAAATAATGAGAAACAAAAAATTTGAATGAAATTTGACTTACCAAACATCTTTTGACATTAGATTCACAACTGGTTAGATTTGCACTGGTTCAACTCTAGGTGGTCACGATAGTCTCTATTCTTTGCGATCTCTGCTCGCGGCTGCACCTTTGCTGCAAAAATAGTTTGAGTTAGTTTATTTTTATTCAAGAAGAGAATAGTTGGGTGGAGAAAAGTTCTTTGCACATATGCTCATTCTCATTGTAAAAAGTAAAAGGTCGAGCACACATGTTGGTCCATGCTCCATCTTCCAAACAAAACATCCTAATAGACCTCCATTAGGGACAAACTTAATCAAGCTAACGAATGCAAATGACAGCAGCCTGATGATTTAAAAAAACAACCTCAAATGTTTAGGCACACTCCAGAAGCTCAGCAGACTAAATGAAATGGCTACTATTTAGAATAATAAAGTTTTAATGCATATAGAAATGTAAGAAAATGATCATTGAAAGCATATTGATTTACATTACAAATAAAAAGATCAAAGAGATGTGAAGAGTGCACATTCCATGATACGACAACAAAATTACAATAATATTTTGACAACCAAACTCTTAATTATATTAGAAATTTCCAAAAAAACACAATAGCTAAAAACCACCATAGCTCAAATGAGGGTAATGAGTTTGCATAGTACTATAGAAGCAAAGCTTGACCTAAAATGAGCTGTGCAGCTTATATTATCGGTAGATTGGATGACATCAAACTCCAAAATTGAATTTATAACACGTCCTTTATTAAAATAGAATACAAAACCATTTATATCTCTCTCAAATCCTTCAAGTTTCAATACCCTGAGCATGTAATAAGAAAATAAAAATCAATGAAATAATTGTATGTACAATAAAAAGTTTATAACATCAAATTGTAATAACTTCAAAAAACACATCTTTGAGCAAACAAACTGAAAATTACATCTTTAAACAAACCTGGATAATGAGTTATTGCATGGTGGATTTGTAAAGCTCTCTCTGGCAGGTGGGTTTTGAAATAGATGTTTAAATTCACATCTCCTTAATAATCAATGGTTAAACACAGAGTAAATCGATGAATGAAATCCACCTTCTCCCTAGTATGTGTTCCTTAATATCTTCATGTACACATGAATGTAGATAGAATCAGAAAGCAGACAGTCGGGGAGGAGAAACTGTTAACAGTGGGGCTATGGCTTGGAAATCCAGCCCCCAACCAAGGATTCAGAGAGCTGCGAGCGGAGGGAGTAATAGAGCATGAAAGAGGAATAAAAACAGCAACATTGAGGAATTGCGTTGTGAGATCCTCTACTTTATCCGACAAATCATGCAAGAGGTTATGCGTATGCCAATTGCTATCCCTGCTGAAGCAATTCCCGCCTAAAATACCATTCTATTTTTGTATACAGTAAGGCTCCATAATGAAATTTTGTATAGGATCAACTTTCACCATCTAGGAAATTAAAAGCCACATAAAAAAAAACATAAAGTAAAAAATAAATAAAGTTTACACGGAAAGAACTCTAACACTAAAGAGTGATGTAAACTTCCAAATAGTGAAACAAAGTGGTTTACTCATAATCCAATTAATCAGTATGGTTTACTTCTCCAATGATCGAGCCTGCTCCATCCACAGTTTCAATGAATCAAAAAGTAAATTGAATAATCCAAATTTCAATAACGATTTTCACTAATAAATATTAGAAAGGAAGTGAAAGAACATATCTATGGACAAATTAAGAAAATTGATTCACAATATTGAATAAAGAAGGGGAAAGGTTACTGGCTTAATAGAGCTTCCTCGGATTTTTAGACTTCAATGCAAGACTAATCTACTCTTTTGATGCACCTATCTTTTGATCAGATCTAGGGCAGAGAACAACACCAACATCTTCTCCATGTGAATTTCGGGAGTAATATGCACAGTCAGAGAATGAGATGCATAGATTAGATTCTTCCAATTCTTGTTCAAATTCATAAGCAAGTATAGAGAGAGAATAAGACGAAGATGAATTGACATCGATAAATATGGCTTACATGTAGAAGTTGAGATGCCCTTATTCCGTAATATCATTGAATTTGTGCCCCCATCATCGTCTTTAGATATTGTCTGAATTTGATTGTCAATTGTGTTATGGTCGAAACCCTAGCCCATGGTTGTCAACATCCTCGGCAATTTTACTTCCTCTCTTTCTCTGTTGAATCCTTCCAGCGCTAGGAAATTGCCTAGGCTCAGCCAGCGCACTCAATGGGGAAGAAAAAAGATCTCTGGAATTTGACGGAGGAAAGAAGGCACTCAGCGTGAGATCGTGGGAGGTTGGGGTAAAAGTATCATCCTCCAACAGTTCCCGCATAATTTTTCCTGCTGCTATTGTAAATAGGAGGATGATCACCTTTCTTCACACCAGGGCAGATGTCTTCTCCTTTTAAAACAACAGGAATATCCACCTTCAATTTGGATCCATCCTCAGCCCACACAAAGACCAAATTCAATATCTTCCCAGTCTCTTTGTGTGTGTGAATCTTGATGGGAAGTACTCTCCCAGATTCTAGTAAACATGATGAGCCCGACCCGGCCCGGATCTGCAACGGAAATGTCGTGGAGCAAAAGAACGGGAGTTCGATGGAATCAATGATGGTCTTGATCTGCTTTCTCTCGGTTGTAAGAAGGCGTTTCCGGGAGACGGCGGCCGTCGTGGCGATTGATTTCGTGTCGTTAGGGTTTGTTAGGACGTAATTCTGCGAGAAGACTACGGCGGGGATCCGGCCCTGTGCTCGGTCCCTAGAGGAAACTCCGCTCCCTGTTGCCTCTCTTGGGATAGCGGTGAAATATGACCGTCGGCTCGCCGCCTCCGTCGCGTTTCTTAAGCCGTGCCCGGCTGCAGCCACCGAACGCCACCACTTCGGGGGTACCGTAGGATAGCTTTTCAAAACATTGCTTATGCAAACGGGGCCTATAATATATCATCAAAATCAACAGGAGAACATTTTTATGAAAGAGCCTCTCTAATTTTAATCACTTTTACTTCAAGATTGGTAGGTCAATGTCATTTTTAACATTACCTTCATATACATAGTATGTATGGAGTCAAACTAAGATTTCAAGTCTGAGATGGAGGGTGTATTTCATCATCTTTAATCAAGATCGACATGAATAGGTTTAGAGCAGACAAATTATTCAATCAGATTTTGGATAACTCATTTCAAGTTCATGTTACATCGAGTTTGGGTAAAATTTTATTTCGAGTTGAGAACTATATGTTTATATATGACTCAGTATCAGAGGCGGACCTACCTTGAGTCTCACGGGGTTCCGGGACCCCACGGAACTCCACATAAGATCCTATATATGTTAGGTACTCTGGTATTATTAGTATATATATACATCTAAAAAACTAATATGACAATGATTGTCGATTCAGTGCATTGGATGCGCGGCTGAAACTTGAGATACTTTACAAAAACATTTTTATTGTCATACTTTACAAAAACATTTTTATTGTCATATATTTTTTCAGGCAGTATTTTTTTGTATTATTACCTATTGCTACATTAGAATTTCAATTTAACTGAATACTCGGGATATTAAATAATTATTAATGTTTTTCCAATTTGACAATCAAACTATCTAAATACACGTGCTATTTAAATTTGTTTAGTTTAATTCTTTTATGAGTGCTTTCAAAATTTAGTGGAAATAAAAATTGAAATGAGAACCTCCAATCTACAAAAATCACCTTCATCCTCATACTTTAGTATATACAATGTTGATCTCATTCCCTATTGTTACAAGAAAGCCTAAAAATATACTTCGTAGTATTAATTTAGTTTGAATGTAAAACATAAAACTTCAAACTTGCACTTTTTGCGGTTATTTACAATACTGTGGGTTTAGAATATATTCATGCATGCAAAGAGTTTACAATTTTTATTGCGTTTTTACTAGTATTTTTCCTTAAAAAACCTAAACAAATCTATTTTTTGTTTTATTTGTATTCATTTTACAATTTACTTTCATTTTTAAAGTCTGATATTGAAGAATTATGGATATGTCTAAATCTTTCGTTCTAATTCGAGGGTTTTGACAACCAAAAATTTATTATATCCAATTACTAAATTTTATCAATAGAAAATTGTCAGATGTAAAAGTTATGACTTTGAAATCCATTTAAGAATCATATTTTGAATGTTCATTTAAATAGTAGATTTTTTATAGCGTGAGAAATGAGAATAGTCACGTAGTATAAATATATGTTCATAATTTAAGAAACGGGAGCCATGTTTCCTGATTCCTGGATCCGCCTCTACTCAGTATCATTAGACGCAAATATATACCTAACGAGTTATGAGCATTATTTATAAAATATTTAAATTCATATCATATCCTATCATATATATCATATATCCTACTTGGTCCGTCCCTAAGTGTTTGTCCACTTTTGACTTTTAGAACTGTTCATCTAAGCACTTTGACTCATCAAATTCTCTCAATGTGTAAGCCTAAAAATAGTCATGTGTGATCTTGTTTGATTCGTCTTAACATATAGATTATTAAAATATAGTTTTTATAATTTTTTAATATACAAGTTACAAGATAAAATTGATTAAAGAAGTGCATTGGATGATGTGCAAAAATGAAAGTGGACAAACACTCAGAGACGGAGGGAGTATATCTTTATATATAGAATATGACTAAAATTGCGTGTTAAATATATTCTATATTTATGTTAAATATATATTGTATATTAAATGTACAAATATTGTTTCCTATTGTAGAATCCTACCATGATTAGGATTAGGAAAAGGTTGTATATATAAACCCATGTACTCCCACTTTATTGTTTAAGGAAAATCATAATTCTTCATGGTATCGGAGCCATAATTTTTCAAAAACCCTAACCCTACTTCTCTCCCTCTCTCTCTCTCTCTCTCTCTCGGCGTGCTCTCCTCCTCCAGCCGCACAGCTGCCGCCGCCTTTCTCTCTTGGCGGTCTGTCCTCGACATACACACAACCCCCATGTCGGCAAACCCCCACCTTTCTCCCTCGACATGGCTTCCTCTGACAAAAATACAGAAAATTCAACCTCCTCCTCCTCCTCCTCCAATCCCCCTCATCTGGCTTTCACCACCATCTCCAACGTCAAGCTTCATGTCCAGATCTAGCTGAGCTTCTCTCAGCCCAATTACAAAAAGTGGAGCTGACTTTTTCTTCTCCTGGTGCGTCGGTTTACACTCCATGGTTTTCTCTCGGGTTCTTCGTCTCCCTCCTCTGCCGATGATGATGAATGGTACCAGCTTGACACCCTACTCCAAGGGTGGATTCTCTCTACTATTTCTGACGAAGTCTCAGATCTGGTCATCTCCACCACTTCCACTGCAGCTGAATTATGGCTGGTTATTCATGAACTTTTTCATGACAACGAGCATGCTCGGGCGATGCAACTCGAGCACCAGTTCCGAACCACTTTCAAGGGTACGATGACCATGGCCACGTACTGTCAAACCCTGCGGAACATTGCCGATTAGTTAGATGACGTCGACGCCCCGGTCTCTGAGTCTCAACTCGTTCTTCAAATGCTTCGGGGGCTACCCGAAGATCTCCAGGCTCAGACATCGTTCCTACAATTCTAACAACCGCTGCCCAACTTTCTTTAGACCCGATCCGCCCTCCTGCTCCTAGATCGGCAACGGCAAAGCATCGCGGATGACGCCGGGACGGCCCTCCTGGCCGGCCGAACCGGCGGCCCACCCTACGGCACCAGCGGCGGCGGCGGCGGCTTCGGGCGAGGTAATGGTGGCCGCGGACAGCGGGGGGCAACTATGGTCGTGGCGGAGGCAGCCGTGGACGTGGATGAGGAAGAAACTCTGGCTCGCAACGGCACCCGCATGACGGCTACGTACCTTGGAACAACTCACCGCAACCCAACCCCGGCTTGGGTCTCCTCGGTCCGCGCCCACCCAACCCTACCCATCCCAACGCCCATGCCTACTACACCTACAACCCTAACCATACCCCTTCACCCCAACCCTACGGCCAAACAACCTACCGAGCC